TGGAGCCACCAGGCAGGGCTCCAGAGGCCACTACATCCACAGGGGCCTCTGTTGCTAAACAGAATGCTCCTGAACCAAAGGCTCAGGTCCGTCCTTTGCCCAAGCAAAGAAATCCTGAGCCTGTCCAAAGAAAGCCTGTGGAAACTAGTTCCACAGGTAAACAAACCATCAAAAGGTTTTCCCAAGATGCTGGAAAGGGACAGCCTAAAGGTGTGGGGCGGACCTTAACCACAGGTGCTGCCAAACACCTAATGAAGTAACTTGTCAACCTGAAGAACTGGATACCCTAATCCAATGGAATTGTCAGGGAATTCATGCAAAATGGGAAGAACTGCAATATCTGATAGCTTCTTGTAATCCAGTTTGTGTATGCCTACAAGAGATTATGATCAGGGAAAATCGTTTAATTTCCCTGAGAGGATTCCAAGTTCAAGCCCATTATGGGACCTTTGATAATGGACCTCATGGAGGAGTAGCAGTGATGGTACGTCAGGATATTCCCTTCCAGGCCATCCACTTTCAGACGACACTGCAGGTGAAGGCTGTGAGAATAGGCTTGACACGACCTTACACTGTTGCATCCATCTACCTCCCTCCACATAATCTCAACATAGATGATTTGGAAGATTTACTTTGACAGTTGCCTCATCCATTTCTACTCTTGGGAGACTTCAATGGTCGCCATCACCTCTGGGGAGACACTTTGTGCAATCCTCGAGGAAGGGCCTTGGAGTCTTTATTCTCAAGAGTAGATGCAGTTTTACTGAACAGTGATGCACCCACACATTTCCATATTCAAACTGGGACATTCTCCAATATTGACTTGTCAGTTGGCTCACCTGATTCCCAGTTGAATTTCACTTGGCAGGTCATGGAAGACTTACACGGAAGTGACCACTTTCCAATACTTTTGGAAGAGGTGAATGGCATTCCAGCCATTGGAGTGCGGAGATGGCGACTTGAACATGCAGACTGGAATCTTTTTAGATCAACTGCAGTATTGCAAGGATCTGTGAATGATTTCCAGTGTGTTCAAGATGCTGTTAATCACTTCACATCGCGGATTCACCTTGCAGCAGAAGCATCAGTTCCCAGAAGTAGTGGGCAGTACCGTCGACCTCCGGTACCATGGTGGTCTGATGAATGCCAACAAGCTGTCAGAGCAAGAAAAGCTGCATTAAGGCAGTTGAAACGACGCCCAAGCGATGTAACCTTGATCCAGTACAAAAAGACCCGAGCCAAGGCCAGGCGAGTGCTAAAGGAGGCTAGACGGACATCATGGAGGCAGTATGTCTCCTTGATTAACTCTGGGACCCCCTTAGCATGGGTATGGGACAAGGTGCGTAAGATCGCTGGAAAGAGCACATCCATATCAACCCCTGCTCTGAAAATAGATGGCATAATCCTCACAGACAAAACAGATGTTGCAAATGAACTGGCAAAATCCATGGCAGAGATCTCGTCTGGAGCATCTTACACTGCCCGTTTCTCCACTCTTCGGGCTGAACAGGAACGACACCCAGTGTCGTTCTTCAGTAGCACTGCAGCAGAACTTCCATACAACTTGCCATTTTTGCGCAAGGAGATGGACTCTGCTTTGCAGCTCTGCCGTAAGACTGCCCCAGGAAGTGACGGTATTCCATACCAAATGATATCTCACTTACCAAAGAGCTCCCAAACGTTCCTGTTGGATCTATTCAATAGGATCTACAGGGAGGGAACAGTACCATCCACATGGAAAGAAGCTATAATCATTCCTGTCCCGAAACCTGGCAAGGATGCTTCCATACCAGGGAATTATAGACCAATTTCTCTCACCAGCTGTATCTGCAAGTTGATGGAGAAAATGGTAAACTTCAGGTTGACATGGCTGCTAGAAAAAGAAAACGTGTTGACCCCATATCAATATGGGTTTAGAAAACTGAGATCGACCACAGATGCACTTGTGAGGATGGAAACTGCTATACAGAATTCCTTCACACAGCGACGCCATATGTTAGCAGTCTTCTTTGATCTTGAAAAGGCTTATGATACGACTTGGAAGCATGGCATACTCATGAAGCTGTATGACATTGGTTTAAGAGGAGCACTGCCAACCTTCATACAAAGCTTCCTTGCTAACAGGAAGTTTAGAGTGAGGGTAGGAAACAGCTTCTCTAACCTGGAAGATCAGCTGGAAGGGGTCCCACAGGGAAGTGTCTTAAGTGTGACCCTGTTTGCCATTGCTATAAATGACATCGTAAAGGTCGTTCCAAGTGCTGTCTCATGTAGTCTGTATGTGGATGACTTTACACTATACTGCTCAGGAGGAAGCTTACAGGATGTGCAAGGACACATGCAGACTGCAATAAATCAGGTTGTGCAATGGGCAACATACCATGGCTTCAAATTTTCTCCAAGCAAGACCACGGCTATGCATTTCCACAAACGAGGAAAGTTTCACCCTTCCCTCTATTTAGGAGCAAACCCACTACATTTTGCCCAACAGATAAAGTACTTGGGTCTAATCTTTGACTCAAAGCTTACATGGGTGCCTCATATTAAACAGTTAAAGGTGAAAGCTACAAAAGCGCTTAGTATTTTGCGGGTTCTTTCACACCTATCTTGGGGTGCAGACCGCACAACGCTTCTGCGACTTTACCGAGCACTTATTCGTAGTAAACTCGACTATGGATGTGAGGCATATTCATCTGCAACTCCCACTGTTCTTCGGATGTTGGACTCGGTTCATAATGAAGCTCTGAGAATCTGTATAGGGGCTTTCAGGTCTTCACCTGTGGAGTCCCTGTATGCTGAGAGTGGAGAACCACCTCTTTCATTACACCGGGACTACATGAACCTGATTTATTACACGAGACTACAAAGGATTCCGGGATCTCCTACATCCAGATTGGTTTTCAACCCCCTTGAGGATAGCCGATCCTATGGTAGGAGAATGAGGAATCTTGTGGAAGATCTTAATTTAAATCTCACAAAGGTTCTGGCTGTTGGAACTTCCCAAGTCCCCCCTTGGACTAATCAAGTCGAGCTTGATTTGGTCGGAATTGGGAAAGGGGAGAGATCCGAAGCAGAAGTCAAAGAGATATTTCTTCAACACACTTCTAAGTACCAGGGATCATATGCAATATATACAGATGGTTCGAAATCTGAAAATGGTGTGGGCTTTGCAGCAGTGAGCAGAAGGAAGACTGCATCTGGCAGTCTTTCTCGATCAGCCTCGATTTTCACTGCAGAGTTACATGCCATCCTTGCAGCAGTCAAGATGACTAGAGATCTTACAAACCATTCTGTTGTAATATATTGTGACTCTCGTAGTTCCTTGCAAGCAATCAAAAGCTTAAACTCATCACATCCAGTGGTGAGGGAAGTTCAAGATTGGCTTGCACTGATGTCAGCACGTAAAAAGATAACTCTGTGTTGGGTGCCAGCACATGTTGGTATCAGTGGGAATGAGCGAGCTGATCAGAAGGCCAAGGCAGCTGCCGCTCAGCCTTGTGATGCTCGTTTTCCTCTCCCACACACTGACTTGAAACCCAGCATCAGAAGTTGTCTTCGTGATGAATGGAGGGAACAATGGAGGCATACCTCTAGAAATAAGCTACGAGAGATTAGAGATGACCTTGGCAGTTGGGTGACCAGCATCCATCGTAACCGACAAGTGGAAGTTGTATTAACAAGGCTGAGAATTGGGCACACAAGACTGACTCATGGGCCGATGATGGCTAAGAGTGAAGCACGCTGTGAGGGATGCCAAGAGCCATTGACGGTCGCGCATATAGTGGAGAGATGTGCAACATTCTTAGACCAAAGACGAAGGAACTTGTCTCCCCCATATACATTGAAAAATGTTTTGGGGGAGGATTGTGACATAGAAGGTCTTATTAGTTTCCTTAGGGAAACTAATATTTTCAATAAAATTTAATTATGCATAATGTTTATGCAATAGTTTTTTTAAAATTTAGAGCATAATATTTATGCTTTGGTTTTTAATATAATATTTATTGTTATTTATGACATTTATTGATAAATTTTTAACGTTTTAAATATTTTAATGTTTCAACCTAACAAGGTGTTCGCCGCTAATGACCTTAGCTGTTGACGCGGCAGATAATTTTAAATAATCAATCAATCAAATCCTACCATTGAACTATTAATTTTGCAAACAAATACAAAATGTGCAAGACACGTAACACAAAACCACGTAACTAAAAACGTGACACTCAACACCGTAACATTAAAACGTGACACTTAACAAAAAACTAACATTAAAACGTGACACGTAACAAAAAACTAATATTAAAACATGACACGTAACAAAAAAACTAACATTAAAACGTGACACGTAACAAAAAACTAACATTAAAACGTGACACGTAACAAAAAAACTAACATTAAAACGACACATTTAAAAAAAAACTAACATTAAAACGTGACACGTAACAAAATAACAAACATTAAAACGTGACACGTAACAAAATAACAAACATTAAAACGTGACACATAAAAAAACACAAACGTGACGCGTAACAAAAGAAAACGTAACACTAAAACGAAACACGTCACAACCTAACACTAAAACGTGCCACATCACAAACGCATCACTAAAATACGTAACAAAACGTAACACAAACGCGTAACAAAACGTAACACAAACGCGTATCAAAACGTAACACAAACACGTAACACTAAAACACTAAAAACGCGTTACACAACTAAACACTAAAAACATGACATGGAGCACGTAGTGCTACATATATATTTGCTATATATTTGTGTATATAGATATGCAAACATACATATATATGTATATATATACATATATGTATGAATGATGAAAACACTCTACCGTGTAGATACTATGATAGAAAAACCCACACGTAACACGGTCATAGGATATCTATAACAAGTCCCTTGTCATTCGAGTCGCTTGCAGCCTGATATCATATTAGATATGAGCTGCATGTACAAAGCCTCATCGCCACGTGAGATCCGAATGCCTTATGGCCAGTCCCAAAGTTATGTACAAGTGTGATAGTATAACGGAAAAGGTATATTCCATTCCGTTATGATTTTGCTTCAATCATATCTGCATTACACGGAGGCACCCACGGGTACTGCATGATAAATGATAAGAAAAACAGTCATTCACCCATATCTCATCTTCCTTTTCTGCCGGTATATACTTTCAATGAATGCCAATCTCATCCCCCCAACTCCCTCCATTCCAATGCTATCATGGCACTCGGTCTCAGGACTATATAAGCATCCAGTGCTTGCCTGAAGGAATCACATCCTGCAAAGTCTCAAGCACAATGAAGGGGTTGGCGGTGGTAAGTGCTACGAAATACATGCTGTGATATGTAAAGGAGACACACACATACACACACACACATATATATGAGTGTGTGCGAGCATAGATATATATATATACAGTCAGAAAAAAAAACTTTCTTTACTTTTACTTGTGTTCAATGAGGAACTGAATGATTCTCTCTGTTAACACCGGTTTACGTTTCTACCTTATCTTGATATTCCACACCACTTCGTCGATTTTTCATATTAGTTTGTGCAAAAGGTAACGATACTTATTTTTCTGACTACATACTTTGGGAATATACCTTGATTTTGTGAGCATGCTTGCGTGTTGCTCTTCGTAAGCCCAAGCTAGACAGGACCAACCACGTTAGAAGATTTTATAGGTAGTTTCCTAGTTACTTTTACCGGTATTTCGATGGTTTTTCTTCACAAACATGAATTGAGAGAGCTCCATGTCCTACAGTGGAATGCCATGAGATGTTGATTATGATATATTTATGTAATTAGTATTATTTTCATGAACGGACTTCTATCCATGAGGGAAAGTTTACTAACATTCAGATGTATGTAAGCCTACGTATATCATAAAGATGAAAAAGCAATATATTGTTTTCTATGCGTCACCATTTCTCAAGTGGTACGCTGTATAATCTGTTCACATCAGAAGTTGAATTGCATAGTTTGTTATTAACCAAATTTTGATTTTATAATTTACGCATTGTAACTGGAAAATGGCAAGTACTCGATCAAAAAAGAATTTATGGGAAATTGATAGTGATTTGTGAACGTCTACCGCCACTTCTGATATTTGCCACATCTTCACAGATCCTCGCGAGCCTCTGTTTTTTGGCGGTTTCGCTCGCCGTTCCCGATCGGCTTGGTGGGCATCATAACCACCCTCCGCATGCCCACCCGCCACCCCAGAATGGTTACAAATTACCTCCACCACCACCCCAGCCTCCTACGTATGTGCCCCCCACCAAAACCCCGCCTCCACCTGTTCCCCCAATCTACCGGTCCTACACCACCGCCACTCCCTCAACCTACCGCCCCTACACCACCGCCACTCCCTCAACCTACCGGCCCTACACCACTGCTAAGCCCCCACCCTATACATATGGGCCACCTATCACGACAACCTACCGGCCCTACACCACCGCCACTCCCTCAACCTACCGCCCCTACACCACTGCCAAGCCCCTACCCTATACATATGGGCCACCTGTCACAACAGTAAGTAATTTGAAGGGCATTACGAGAAAAAAAAAAAAAAAAAAAAAGCCTGTTGCTCCTCTTACTCTCAATATTAGTAGTTATTGTTGCTATTGTTATCGTTCCCATTATCATGGATATTCTTAGCGCTGTTTGATGTCATTTATTTTTTGTTAAAATAATCAGGTCATTAGTGAATTGGTCATTATTACTATCATTATCATCATTATTGCAACTGCTGCAAACATGAAAGCAATTATTGTAATTGTTACTCGTGTTTCATTGTCTCAATATCAATGTCATTTAAGCAGTCATTACTTTCTATAGCAGTAATGGTATTTCTATTACACCCATTATTAACTATACCATCTTTACCATTATCTATATTAATATCATCTATATCATTTTTATTATCTATATCATCATTGTTATCTATATAATCATGAATGCCATATTCATTGTCATTATTAGTACTATGATATCCATTACTACCTCCGTCATTAGTATTGTTGATGGTGATTATGAGACGGCATTTACAACAGAACCGTCAACTGATTTGAATTTACACGTCCCTCACCCGCAGGAGAAGCCGAAGTACTGGTTCGATTGGGCAGTAAACGACCATTATTCCGGCAACGAATATAACATGCAGGAACACCGTGACGGTGAAAAGACCGAGGGATTCTACAACGTTTTGCTTCCCGACACGCGAGTCCAGAAAGTCACTTACACTGTCGATGGCGACTCCGGTTTCGTGGCTGTAGTTACTTACGAAGGAGAGGCTAAGGAACCTACACACGGACACACTTATCTGCCTCCTACTCCTCCTACACCTCCTTCCAAATATGGTACTCCTCGTACACCTCCTTCCAAATATGGTACTCCTCGTACACCTCCTTCCAGCTATGGTGCTCCTCATTAATGTCGATAAGCTTCTCTCAAAGTATCGAAATAATTAATCATCACTGATTTCCTGTTGTAATCAGAGAATTGAAATAAAGTAATTCGCTGTTTAAAGTTGATTTGTCATTTTTCCTATTGTGACCGGAAGGTCTAGACTCCCCATATATTTATATATTTTATATACATATACTTATGTACACACAGATATATGTGTATATATTTATATATATAACATGTATGTATGTATATATATATGAATGCGTATATAAATATATATGTATATATATATGCGTATATGTATACATATGTATGTATATACATACATATATAGATATATGCAGTATATATATATGAATGCATTGAGCAGTGTTACTAATGCTAAAATCCAACTAATGTCATTTCTGCTTCGTAAGCTTACCTCGAAGGCATGCTATGTATATAACATGAGGTCTTTAGATGTGGATCATCTGAGAAATCGTTGTGTATGTAATGATGATAATAATGATAATGATAGCATTGATAATAATAAGATTACAATGACAATAAAGATAATGATGGTGATGATCATCATAATAATAATGATAATAATAACCAGAAAAATAAAATTATAATATTGAATAGTATTACTAAAACCCTTATTACTACTGGCAATAGTAGTTAGTAGTATATTCTTCATAATGTTCACTAAGCTGGGGTGTCATCTCTCAGCTTCGGAATTGGAATTTCAGAAATATTTGCCAACATATCAACTAGTTTCCCTAGTTCCTGTTGCATATGCAGCAAGGCATACATGCATATATATACGTTATGTTCTTCGTAGCTTCCTACATTAAAGATTGTGTGTCCAATTTCAGACCTGGCTATGCTTCTGCAACCCATGACGTAAGATCAACTCGCTTCTGCTGATAAATACGCATTGCCTATAATTACATAAATTACTTCTAATACTTGCAGCATATACTTTTTATATTCTCTTTTTTCTTTTATCTTTTTTTCTTTTCTTTTTTTACTGCTAAGTATGAATTTAACTACGCCGATAAAGACAACTATTCCGGAAATAACATTGGTCACCAGGAGGCCCGTGATGGTTATGACACCCTAGTTACTACTACATCCTCCTTACCAATGGTCGTCTGCAGAAAGTCGCCTACACTGTCAACGGCGTCTCTGGCTACGTGGCTGAGGTCGGCTACAAGGGTGAGGCCAGGTACCCTGAGTATAAGGCTGCTCCTGCCTACATGCCTGTTCCTGCCTACAAGCCTGCCCCTGCCTACAACCCTGTTCCTGCCTACAAACCCGCTTCTACCTATGCTTAGATATGAAAATGATATAAATATATTTATGGTAAATATTTATTAAACAAAACTCTCACCACCATGCATTTACATCACCTCATCTAAAAACAAAGAATTTGTGGGGGATACTTCAGAAAAGAGTATAGCCAAATACATACATACACTACAATTTTCAAAAGCAAATGCAATCTAAACTGTTACTAAAGATTCGCCCTTGAAATAGCTTGAGTTAGTTGAATTTAAAAAAGTATATTATAAATGACAACGCATTTTTAAGTACTGTGTAGTGACTCCCAACACACAAGTAGTGCTTAAGGCTGAAATTATTTTTTCACTGGATATTGATCCTTAGTTCACACTGCCACCACGAGACTTCGAATGTCTCGAAAAAAAGGGAGTCTGGCGAGTTCTCCGATAGCTTTCTTAGTAAAATCCTACCATCGAACTATTCATTTTGCAAACAAATACAAAATGTGCAAGACACGTAACTAAAAGCGTGACACTCAACACCGTAACATTAAAACGTGACACGTAACAAAAAAAAAACTAACATTAAAACGTGACACTTAACAAAAAACTAACATTAAAATGTGACACGTAACAAAAAACTAACATTAAAACGTGACACGTAAAAAAACTAACATTAAAACGTGACACGTAACAAAATAACAAACATTAAAACGTGACATAAAAAAACACACAAACGTGACACGTAACAAAAGAAAACGTAACACTAAAACGAAACACGTCACAACCTAACACTAAAACGTGCCACATCACAAACGCATCACTAAAATACGTAACAAAACGTAACACAAACGCGTAACAAAACGTAACACAAACGCGTATCAAAACGTAACACTAAAACACTAAAAACGCGTTACACAACTAAACACTAAAAACATGACATGGAGCACATACTGCTACATATATATTTGCTATATATTTGTGTATATAGATATACAAACATACATATATATGTATTTATATACATATATATATGAATGATGAAAACACTCTACCGTGTAGATACTATGGTAGAAAAACCCACAATGTAATATGTATATGCATATATGTACGCATGTGTGCGTGCGTGTGTGTGTGTGTGCATGTGTTCGTATGCGTTTGTGTGCGATTTCAGTAACACGGTCATGGGATATTTATAACAAGTCCCTTGTCATTCGAGTCGCTTGCGGCCTGATATCAAATTAGACATGAGCTGCATGTACAAAGCCTCATCGCCACGTGAGATCCGAATGCCTTATGGCCAGTCCCAAGGTTATGTACAAGTGTGATATTATAACGGAAAAGGTATATTCCATTCCGTTATGATTTTGCTTCAATCATATCTGCATTACACGGAGGCACCCACGGGTACTGCATGATAAATGATAAGAAAAACAGTCATTCACCCATATCTCATCTTCCTTTTCTGCCGGTATATACTTTCACTGAATGCCAATCTCATCCCCCCAACTCCCTCCATTCCAATGCCATCATGGCACTCGGTCTCAGGACTATATAAGCATCCAGTGCTTGCTTGAAGGAATCACATCCTGCAAAGTCTCAAGCACAATGAAGGGGTTGGCGGTGGTAAGTGCTACGAAATGTATTCTGTGATATGTAAAGGAGACACACACATACACACACACATATATATGAGTGTGTGCGAGCATAGATACATATATATACAGTCAGAAAAAAAAACTTTCTTTACTTTTACTTGCGTTCAATGAGGAACTGAATGATTCTCTCTGTTAACACCGGTTTACGTTTCTACCTTATCTTGATATTCCACACCACTTCGTCGATTTTTCATATTAGTTTGTGCAAAGGGTAACGATACTTATTTTTCTGACTACATACTCTGGGAATATACCTTGATTTTGTGAGCATGCTTGCGTGTTGCTCTTCGTAAGCCCAAGCTAGACAGGACCAACCACGTTAGAAGAGTTTAT